AGTGGCTGGTGGTTGAAGGGTCTATTATGCTGGGCCATCAGCGCCTGAACGTTCTTAATGAACTGGTTGTATTGCGACTGTTGGTTCTGCGCTTGCCCTTGAGCCTGCATCATGTTCTGTTGCATGCCCGGATGCTGCATTGGGTTTTGCATTGGATTCTGCATTGCGCCTGGCATCTGCGCGCCTGGCTGCTGCCCTTGTCGCGCAGCCATGTTGCTCGCGGCAAGATTACCCAACTGCTGCTGCTGTTGCAGGCGCATTGCGTATTGCCTTTGCGCCTCTTGCTGTCGACTCTGGAGATTTTGTGATAGTTGCACCGACTGTACGGGGAACTGGTTTCCGGAATTAGCATTGAAGGCTTGATTCATAGGTGAAGCCTGGAAGTTCATGGGCGACATCTGCGGCGCGTGGGGATTTTGCGCTGGTGAGGCCGTGTTCATGCGCTGGCCTCCCATCTGGCCGGGCGCGAAGTGCTGGCTCTGCATGGTGGGCGAGGGCGTGTTAGTGAAGCCTTGCTGGTGCTGGAAGCCGAATTGGGCTTGCTGTGAAGGTGTCTGAGAGCGCGATAAAGATAGAGCGGCGCCGGACGAGTCTCGTTTCTGGGGCACCGAGGGCATAGGATTGAACGGGCGCGCGCCATTCATCTGGGGTGTTGCGATTGCGCTCGGGTCAATGAAGCTCGACGGATCGTACATGCCGTTCTGGGGGGATTGGAAGTCCATGATGGTGCGCTACTGCCGCGAGCAGTCAAGAGCGGCGGCGGGCAGGGAGGGGACAGGCGCGTGAAGGCAAGGACGAGGAAGAGAGCGATAGGCGCACGTGAGTGTCTGGGTTGGATATGGCTAGTGGTCCGTCAGCAGGCATGTTGATGTTTAGATGGACGCGCCTCTAGCAGCAGCCCTCCGACGAGACGCAGGCGCAGGACAGGGACGCGGCAGGCGGAGGCAGGATGAGATAATACACACCGGGCGCGACAATAGACCGACGCTAAAAGGATCTTCTCATCAGGGCAGGACGGATAACGAGTGGCTTTGAATGCGGTCGATAACTTGACGCACCGCAGACGCGCTTTGCGGACTATGCGTTGCTGAGAGCGGAGGAAGGAACAGTTTTCTTGGCGGAATCCCAGCCTCTACCTACTCTAGCCTGGTCGGGAGCATCACGAGACCTAGCAGTGTCCGCGACTCCAAAACAGAGCGCACGTCGCCCGCAGAGCAGAAGCAGCCGCAGAGTCTCCAAAACATACACGCAGGCCACAGTCGCATCCGGAGCCGTAGACGCGTTCGCGCGTTGCGACAGACCAGTGGAGTGCCTGCGTTGCCGGCAACTCACAAGCCTAGCCTAACTCAATTTGATTTGATTTCTCCGGGTCTTTGGCCGTCGTGACACGGAAACACACGTCTCTCCACTTATTACATCACTTTGTTCCTGCAGGAAATGGCGCTGTTATCGCACACAGCTGGGCGTCGAGAGTGGGCACACCCAGACCGCTTGACTCTGCGTCGAGAGCCCAGCCAACCGTTGAACCGCCCCAAGCTACTCCCAGAGTCAGCGCACCAGTGTCCTCGTCCGATACTTGACGCAATCCGGCCTCTCTGCTCTGCCCTCGAATACGATGCAAATTCGCAACAATCCTATACCCGTTGGTGATCGGCGCGTCACACGCCAGCAATCTACCATGGCGACTGGGGGTATACATGTCAGATTCGGCGCTTGTGCCATCGTACACACGCATCGAGGCCCATACTCTATGCTATTGTCTTCATACTCTATAATTTTCACAAAGCATTCCCCGATCAATACATGTCAGGTAATTAGTCCCCGGTCGTTGTCGTGAACCGGCGCGGGATTTAAACACTTCAAGGGGGTCAGGTAAAACTAGACTTTAGAGCTGATTCGTACTCCACATCTGCTTCTAGCCAGAAGGAAAGGTCACACCGCGAGTTGAATAACGTCCCTCATACAGGCCCATTGCATAGCTGTCTCGAGCCATGAGCAAGGGTCTTCGACTATCCCTTTAGCATGCCATAGAAGCCTGGTTGCAGTCGGGACGGGTATTGACGCGCAATACCGATGTGTTACAATCTCATAATGTCCTAGTGTATAGGTCTGCCTGCGTGTAATAAGAGCGTCGTGAATTTACTTTTTCACGTGTCGCAACAGATGGCGTCTGAGCTAGCTGGCTGGAGCCCTGGAGTGATCGTCGAGCTCACGTGACGTCGGCGGCACCGCCTCGCATTGCCCGATCGCGCCTTCCATGAGCTTCATCAACATTGCGACACACAAGCACCGCCTTCACCAACATCCCGCCACAAACAATCACCACTGACGAATACTGTCTCTCGCTGCTGATATCCCCCACCGACTTACAACTACACAAAGTCCATCCAGCTACTATCATCATGGCTGATACCGCCATGGAGAACCCGGCCAACACCGTCCCGCCGCACAAGAAGCAGCTCCCGTCGTCGATACCTAACTTTGATACCCTGGAGGGCTTCTCCACCGAGGGCAGCGATGACTACTCGACCTTCAAGAAGCTGCAACGGCAATTAGAGTTCGTAGCGCTCAGGCACATGGAACCGCAGGTGGCTAACAGTCGCAGGTACATCCATCTACAGGAAGAGTACATCAAAGATGAGCAACGGAGTCTGAAGCGAGAGTTGGTGAGGGCACAGGAGGAGATCAAGCGCATTCAGAGTGTACCGCTGGTGATAGGGCAGTTCATGGAGGCCATCGACCAGAAGTAAGCTTCAACACAGGCACAGCGCTTGCGTCATGACACTAACACGCGCAGCACCGGCATCGTACAATCGTCCACCGGCTCCAACTACGTCGTCCGCATCCTCTCCACTCTCGATCGCGAACTCCTCAAGCCATCGTCATCCGTCGCGCTGCACCGCCACTCAAATGCCCTCGTCGACATCCTGCCACCAGAGGCCGACTCCTCGATTGCCATGCTTGGTCAAGACGAGAAGCCAGACATCACGTACGCCGATGTTGGAGGTCTAGATATGCAGAAGCAGGAGATTCGGGAAGCTGTTGAACTGCCGCTCACACACTTCGACCTCTACAAGCAGATCGGTATCGACCCACCGCGCGGTGTACTGCTATACGGACCTCCGGGTACAGGAAAGACCATGTTGGTCAAGGCTGTAGCAAACAGCACGACCGCGTCCTTCATCCGTGTTGTCGGTTCGGAGTTCGTACAGAAGTACCTGGGTGAAGGCCCACGTATGGTTCGTGACGTGTTCAGAATGGCGCGCGAGAACTCCCCATCCATCATTTTTATCGATGAGATTGATGCTATTGCCACAAAACGTTTCGATGCGCAGACAGGTGCCGACCGAGAAGTTCAGCGTATCCTGCTCGAGCTGCTCAACCAGATGGACGGTTTCGACCAGACGTCCAACGTGAAGGTCATCATGGCGACGAACCGCGCGGATACCCTCGACCCTGCGCTGCTCCGACCCGGTCGTCTCGACAGGAAGATCGAGTTCCCTTCGCTACGCGACCGCCGTGAGCGCCGTCTTATCTTCTCCACCATCGCTAGCAAGATGAGCTTGTCGCCTGAGGTAGACCTTGACAGCTTGATCGTCCGAAACGACCCCCTCTCCGGTGCCATCATCGCAGCTATCATGCAGGAAGCGGGTCTGAGGGCCGTGCGCAAGAACAGGTACAACATTATCCAGAGCGATTTGGAGGAGGCATACACCAGCCAGGTCAAGGGTGCGGCAGAGGCCGACAAGTTCGATTTCTACAAGTAAGCGCATCGCTACTTGTAAGGGACTTGAGACGGGGCATGCGCCATTGTACTACTAGATAGACTAGGCCCTGGGGTCTCGTACCCTATGAGGGTATATACCGTGGTCGCTTGGGTAATGCATGAAACAACATGAATATCACCTTGACTACGCCTCGATTGCTGTTGTGTGATCTAGACGTTGCGTTTCATCTAGACCAGGGCTTGTGCACTACTAAGCTACATCCTTTACGTTCGGGTAAAAGGAAGTGGAAGAGAATATTCCTATGTTTACTACATCGGGCGAAAACACCCCATGTTTTATCCACTCAGTCCTTGGCTTACTGCGTCTGTCGGATTGAACATGTCTTCAAGCATGGCTGTATTGTTCTAATTTGGCAAAATATGTCAAGATGGTCATTGATTTGCTACTCCGGTAACAATGTATATACACATGACGCAAATCTTGTTGTCGGTAAGTGAGTAAAGTTGAAGAATTATATGACGTACCAACGTAGACAATAGACTATGCAGTACAGTACAGGGCAGTTCTTGTACACGGGAAAAATTTAGGTATTTCACGAGATTTTGCTTGATAATGTATCTAGTACACTTCCTACGTTGACATGGATCTTGTGTCGCCATCTATAAGCCATTTTAGTTACACACCATCAAGATCAATGGAGACAAGGTTACTTAATTATATGCATTTATAACTTCTTTCGTCTATCTACCAGATATGCCACCAAACGCTCCTTTCTGTCAGCATACCCGCTTCTCCTTCCCTTTCCCACGCCGTCTCTTCTTGGTATCACCGGCAACTCGCAACCAAAATCCACCAACAACTATTATTGCTGCGTCTTCCTCCTCCATCCACCCGACTAGAACTATCCTACAAAGACACGCAGCAGCGGCAACCGACTCCACGCACTAGCACCTCAAGCTCGGCAAAGACAGAGGCAAAGGACAACAATTGCACCGCAGGCCATCCGTTCCATTCCGTGATCCAACAATAAGGGAGAAGAGCTACATATCTCCCAGAAAGGAAAGAGAAAAGAAAAAGAGAAAAAATGTGACAAAGGAAAAGCAGGAGCGACTCGACGCCCTATAGTAACGGGCGGCGGCTCATGGTATCATGCATTCGCGACGCAAGGGAGCGACAAAGGAAAGGTCCGGTGGATTGCCAGACGGTATGCAAAAGGCGTTGTATGAGAAGTTATGGTGAAATGACGAGTTCGGTACAGATTCGTTAACCAGTTTAGCCGACCCTGATAGTGGTCTCTAATGGCGTGCGCGGTAGATCTTTATCCAAAGAGGCTCTGGGTATACCTCCCCTCTTGTCCTCCTTTGGTGGTGTGGGTGGTCCAGAGTGCCTGTTGGGCATGTATTCGGCGTCCTTTGCCGGTGTAGGCGGGCGCCCATCGCTACTCGCGGTGCCAGAGTCCTTCGGCGGTGTAGGCGGCGGTCTTCCCTGTGCATGATCCCTTTCCCTGGATGTAGACCTGGCTCTGGCTTCAAGTCGTGGAGGGCCGAGGTAGGGCGCTCCTGTGGGTGGTGGTAATGAGGACTTCTCGCTACTCGTATTGGCAGCATGGCGATCTGAGGCACTCCGGTTGCTGTGCCCGCCAACACTTGAAGATTCACCGGCCTCTTCCACCACAGGCAGAGTGGTCCCAATCTCTCCTCTTTCCGCCGACGGACTACGTACTGCCCTCAAGTGTAGATTTGGTACGTTTTCTTCACCATGACCTTGTCGCCGCGAGCGGTCGGCTTGATGCTCGGCCTTCTCCAGGACACGGTCGGTCGACGATCGCTGCGCAGCAGTCGCATTGACACCGTCAAGCGAGAGTTCGTTGAGATCGTTTGTGGCCTCTTCCATCTTCTCACGCTCGGCCGCTTCTCTAGTCTTGGTGACACCGCTGATGAACTTGATGAATCGATCGCCGTATCGCTCGGGAGGTATAGCAGATATTTGAGACTCGGTATTAGCAATGCCTTTAATAAAGTGCTCCATACGTTTGATGAAAGAGTACTGGAGCATAATTAGTATTTGGCGAGGCCTACGCACTGTACGCTGCAAACTTACGTGTGTCAGACAGTCGATAATGCCAAGGTAGTATATCTCCTCTCCGGGGGTTTCGTCCTCGTGAGTGGCTCGGAAGCCACCATCGTCAGAATAGAAGTAGAAGTTCCGGTTAGGATCTTCCAACTCATTCGGCATCTTGCTAGACGTCTGACCCATGGGTACTGGTTTCTGTGTCTTGACCATCTGCCTCAGTTCCCTTGCTTTCCGAGCACTCTCCAACTTCGAAGGCGTCCGCATAAGCTGATTCGGTTGGGGCTCTGGTGCCTCCTCTCCACCTGGTGAAAAGACCTTGAGTGTCTTGTCTCGCAGGTTCTCCTCGTTACCCTTTTCCAGGTCGTGGATACCAATGAGGAGCGAGTAGTCCATTATGTGTAAGCGCTGCAGCAACTTGACGTCTCTTTGCATCTGCTCGATGAACATCTTCTTCTTGGACGGCCCTAACTCAAGATGCTGGTTTCTGCGTAACCAATTGAGGTCCTTCAGTGTCGCGCGGGGGTTGGTTGCCAAGTTCTCTTCCTTAAAGTCTCGCCCAATGGTAGAGCCCTTGAGGTCGAACGTGCTGTGGATGTCTCGATGCGGGGGAAACAGGTTGTTCATGACGACGAAGTGGATTTTGCGTCCATAGGGTATCTTTACGCGATGCAGGCCGTAAAACTGGGAAAGAAGAGTGTTTGGGTTCTCTTGCACGTGGTTGTAGTAGTCCTTGAGAATCTTGCGGAGGAACTTGTGTTCAGCGTGGTGGATGGTCTTGATAATGTACTTGTAGTCGCGGGAGAAATAGAAGAAGCTGCCACTCTTACCGGGAGAGCCGAGCTCGGAAAGGATGTATTTGCTGGTTAGCGACACGAGATAATCGGCGGGGTCGAGCTTGAAGGTAGTGCGGAGATGGCGGAAGACCCATGGTGCATAGTCCTTGAACTTGAAGTCGTATTTGGCGGAAGGAGTAAGCTCGTTACCAGTTCTGTCAAAGTGTCAGTATTGTGCGAATGAGCAAAGATCAGAGGTCTGCCAGACGAAGTGGAGATGAACTCTAGCAGGTACTTGATGTTGCAAGGAAAGCCGGCCGGCACGTACATGTCAAACGAGAACTTGTGCTTCGCGTCAAAGTCGGCATCAGTGAGATCTCGGTCCATCTTGGCGTTGGTTCGCGAGACGGTGAAGCGGATACCCGTCAACATGTTGTAAGCTGTGACCCAGTTGACGTGGTTCTGGTCGACCTTGGTGCCTACCACGACGCGGTCTTCGTCTTCGTCCTCCTTGCGCTTCCGCTTGCTTGCTCGCTTCTGGCGGATGTGCTCAGCCCAGCGCGCGGCCTCATCGTCCTGGGGCACCTCGTCGAGATGCATGTCGGAGTTGACGGAGCGTGTGGTCCGACGCACAAGCGACATGGAGCCTCTCCGTTTGTGCGGTGTGGAAGGCGAGAAGCGTCCACTAGCGCTGATGACGTCGTCGGTGTTGTTCTGGGGTTCGCGGGCGCGCGATGTTTGCAGCTTGGGGACCTCGAGGGTATGACGTTGCTGCAGACGATGAGGTTGTTGAGAGGGGCTGGGGTTGTTGTGGTTGAAGGCAGGCGGGGAGGAGACGCGATGCGCTTGGCTCGGTACCTGCAGACTGGACGTGCCCTCGTCGGGTTGGGGCTGCGGCGACGGCGACGTGGGAGGATGGGAGACGGAGCCGACGTGCGGAACATAGAAGTCCCTGCTTGCTTCTTTGGTGCCGTCCTGAGCATCGATCTGGCCGAGCTCGACGTGCGTGGTGCTGCCACAGAGGCGGTCCTTGGTCTTGCTGCTGTGTATCGAGGCGAAGTAGCCGTCGTCTCTGCTCGGGCGCTCGCTCGACTGCCTCTGCGTGTCGAGCGACTTGGTGTTGGAGCTGTCGGCGTCCATGTAGTCTCCTCTGCTCCGGGCATGACGTGCGTCGTCCTGGGACAGGCGCTTGTCGATGCTCGCGGGCCTGGGTGGGCGGCCGTTTGCCATGGGCTGCATTCCATTGGCCATCTTCCCGTTCATCGCGGCAGCGGTGCCATTGGGGGGCGAGCGGTCCGAGGGCGAGCGCGCGGGGGGAGGCGGTGATGTTTGAGCATGTGCAAAGGAAGAGCGGTCGGTTGCTTCGGCGCCATACGAGGGCATCATCTGCGACTCATGGATGGTTACGCTCATCAAAGAGGCAGCCTTTCCCGAGCGCTGCGGAGGAGGGGTCGGCGGAGCGTGAGAAGCCAGTGTGTGCGTGCGACGTGTGGCTGGTGAAGGTCGGGTTGGGCGTCGTCCGGGGGATTGCGTAGTGCAGCGCCGGCAGAGACTAGGTACCAGAGCGGAGCAGAGCAGAGCAGAGCGGCGCTGAGGGGAGGCAGCGGCGGGGCGGCAGGCACTGGAGCAATGGGGGTCGTGATAAGAAAAACGGTGGGCGCAAGAATGGGCGTGGGTGTGTCGGCGGCCAGGAGTCGAGTCGAGCTGTGATGCTCGATAGTTGGCACTTCGCTCAGCCCTTTGCTCGCCGGGCGCGATCCGACTTCCGTCTTGCGCTAGCCTTGGCAGGTGGACAGTGCCTTATTGCGCGCTGCGAAGCCACCAGCAACATGACCACGGGCCCGGCTCCTGCTGCATCACGGCAGTTTCAATGCAGTCGGACATGCTGGGCCCCATTCACCACTGCATTGCGCTGCTTTTGACGCCCCAAAGGCCCCATCGCTGCGATACTTGGACATGTTGTCTGCGTTGCGCGCGCCCGTAGAGGGAGATTGCGCGTCTGGATTAAGAACAGGCGGCATGCATCCCTCAGCCACACCAATAGTCCCAGCAGCCCGGGTGCGGCGTCATGCTGTGGCTCGCAATCACCCTATTCTTAACCATGGCGTGCCAAACTGAAGGTTATTTTCTACACCAAGCTGCACCTTGCTATTGCTATTGCTATGCAGTCCCCATCCATGCAGCCCACGTTGTCGCCCCGAGCACCGGACAACAGAAGAGGCGAGCCGGCCTTGCCCTGCGCCGCACGCTGCCCACTTGTCTGTCTTCGGCTCTATTTAGCTCCAGCTCCACTCCCAATCTCCTGGCTAACCCAGCCCTGTTTTCGTCCGCCCATCACAGAATGCGCAACACCTGGGCGACCAAGTAAGGGTCCAGTGCTCCATCAAATACATGTCCTCCCCGCAATGTCCAGGCGTAGACACATCTGACCAGTCTGGAACATCCTCACACTCGACAGTGCATCTCTGTTGAGCAGTGCGCACTCGGGGCCAACATTGAAGATCCGCGCTCTCCACGCTAGCCATCTTTGGCTTCCCTTTATGTGCCCTGCACGCCAACATATATACCCATGCTTGAGCATGCGACTCCAGTAATTGCGAGTTCAAAGTCCTTGTCGCACCTGAGACGACATGGAGACTGCCAGATCTCAAAACACCCTTATCGCGCAGTCGGTGTATGGCTGGGAGGACTTGGTAGATAGGCAGTAACCGCGCTGTCTTCATCCCACAGCAATCCGATGCTTGTCGCCGGCCCTCAGCGAACAGACTTCGGTATTTGGCAGCGTCTTCCTGATGACACCCTCTTCCACCATCTTCTTCACTTCGTCAACCGCGTGCTGTGCAATCTGAGTCAACTTGACGGCCCAGCCCCGATTGTCCTTGTCTGCATCATGGGCAGATATCCAGGCTTTGGCATACAGACTCTTGGCGATCTCTGTGCCACCGGGACTGCCAGCTGATATGTTACCTCCAAGCCACCAAGGGTTCTCAACGCAGTCAAAAGAATGTAGAAGCGCTGTGAGGGGAAGTGCGGATTCCGACACAAGGTAGGAGCTTGCGTAGGGACGAATCACGTCGTACGAAACACCGTGAGGTGAGTAAATGACAGACAGTGTCTTCTCCCGATCGTTGTTTGGTGACGGCACCAACGTACGGGGCGATGAGGCGATTGTCATTGGCGATCCTGGAGAGGGGGGCGGGCTCATAGGCAGGTTGATGTAGTGCATTGGGCTTAGCGACGAGAGTACTGTGCAAGGAGGCCGATATGTTATCCCGATCGCGTGATGTACCTTGGAAAGGTCCCGCTTGGCTGGAATCCAAGTCACCGTCACCTCACCACATGTCCCTCGGGGAGACGGCGGCGGTAATACTATACGGTGTATGGACTGGCCATCTCCCTCGACGTACTTCGGCAGAGCGTGCACAAGGCTGGGACGAAAGTGTTTCCATGAGCGAATCTTCTTGGCCGCAGACGGTATGGCTAAAATAGTTGCTTCGCAGTCTGGTGGGAGTTGGCGCAAGGTAGCTTCATGGCAGTGGTCTGGCTTGTCTTGGGATATAAGCACGAGGTCGGGTTCGCGGTCAAGGTCTCTCAGGCTCGCGACGGATGGTTTCGCTCTCTGTACAGAATGCGAGAAGACGGAGTTTAGGATGATGGAGGGCCCTGAAAGCCAGGCTGGTCAGGAAACATTAGCACCCATCTACAAGTCGGCCTCCAGCGGTATCAAGCGCGATCTTCAGAGACTTACGGTCAACCAGAATCGTGAACGATCCTGGGAACAATCCCGGCGACGATAGTGGGGCAGCGGGTGGGTCAAAGGTAAGGAGAAAAGAAGTGTCTCCATTCAGCGACTCGACGGAGAGAGCCATACTAGCGAAGAACAAGTGCAAGACAATGTCGGCCACGCGCACGACGGGGTAACGGCAACGTAAGACATGAAGAAAGGGAGGCGAGGCGACAGGCTACGCGCTGCCGTGTCAGTCTGTGATGCCCATGTCAATGATGATTGCGGGCTTGCGCCATCGCCTTGGAACGCTCAGCAGAAGCAATTGTGCTGGAAGGTTGACGCGAGAGGGTAGTCGCAGACGAGCGTGGACGAGAAACAGCAGGTGCAGACGAGGTGCATGTGACGAGTTTAGAAAGCCATCGGTAGCAACACGCTGCTCCTGTCACTCAACAATTTCCACCCCGGCGCGTCAAAAGCTCGTCTTCTCGTGCGTCTTCTTCACTCTCCGTCCCTCTCTTCTCTGGCGTTTCCCACTACCCTTCCACCTCACCCCAAGTCTGTTGCCGAAATGTGGTAGATGCAGCTCCCTGCAACCAAGTGCAGCCTTCCTGGACCTGCCGCCGGCCGAAACTGGCTTTAGCTCGGCATCTGAGGAGCAAAAATCTTCATGGCGCCGCAGCCGATGTCCTGGTGAAGAGTCCGAGCAGTAGATCGCATTGGTCAAAATTCTTTGCATGCACGGGACTTGAGCTGTGAGGAGGCTTCTGCGCCGTCTAGCTGATTATGAGTCGTCTTGCTCCCAGCCATCTCTGATTGGAGCGCGCAAATCCCCATTCAAGCGGTAGGTCATTGGGCAGCACGAAGCTCTCCAAGCTATCAGCTTCTTCGCCTCAGCTCCAGGGCAGCCGTCTGATTGCTCCTCCGCTCGAGCTTGTCGTGGCGATACAGCTCTACCCTCACGGCAGCGGTGCAGTACCATTGCTTCTTCTTCCACATGGTCAATCGTGATTCCTGAACACAGCCTCTACTTGATCACTTTCTCTCGAAGCCCCGCCGCCGTTCGCAGCTGCCCCGCATCCAGTTACGTCTATCCGCAGTAGCAGCAACTTCAGCTCAGAGCTTCTTCCACCCGCCGTAGTCACCACACCCGCTCCTGCCGTCACTGTAGCCTCCCCCCTCAGCTGCGCAAGCTCGGACTGAGCTTCCCCGTCCCAGCGCCTCGCTTTCCACGTGCCATTGCTTCGTCGCGAAGCTCCTGCCATTGATGCTCGCAGCCATGCCTCCGTCGCGCGCAGCACCGCTGACGAGCTCCTTCTCCGTCAGCGACGAGAACAATGTCGTAGTATGCCCGCTGCGAAACCACGACAGCTCGGCCTGTCGCAAGCGCTGCACCGGGGTAAGTCTCTCCCGCTGCTGCTTCACGTTACAGCAAGCTCCAAAGCTCCAGAGCTCCGGGGTGCAGACTAACACATGCGTAGGAGAAGCGTTTCCGGTCCATGCAGGAGCACATCCGCCGCGCCCATCCTGAGCACTACATCTCCAAGTTGCCGGCGACTGAGGTAGGCTTGTCCACGGTCAGCGCTGGCCGAATACGCTGCTGACTGTTTCCGCTTGCAGGAGAGCTTCATGCTTATGGTCAACACACCACCGCAAGAAAGACCCCCACCTCCACCTGCGACGACCTCAGCACCGCCCCAGCAGACGTACGACTATGGCGGAAGCGAACACAACTCCTTCTTCGAGACCGACTTCGGGACGAATCATCTTCGCACATCGGACGAAATGCGCCGGCCGTCACTCTTACCCGCCGCGACTGCTGCGGCTGCCCTGGCCTCGTTACACAACCATCGTGCCGAGTACGACTGGGACTCAGATCCGGTATGGACCCGCGTTGCACCTTCCCCACACAAGATCAGGCTAACAACTGCTGTGAACAGGACGCAGCATCCGATCCCGATTCGAAGAACTACAGGCCTCGCGCACGATTCGCTCCGACCACCATAGAACAACACATCAATGCCGAAGAACCTTACTACACTTCTACTTCCATACAGCAAGAGCTGCTCCCCTCCTCCCTCGCACGATCGCCTCCCGGGCGCTCCTCCACTCTCCCTCCTGGCGCTCACTCTCTCAAACCGAACAGACCCCGCAAGTCATCTGTAGGACAGAATGCTCGTAAGGGCAAACACGAGCGGCAGAAGTCCAAGGACTATTCGCGCAGGCTGAGCTACGACAGGAAAGCATACTCGGCTGAGCCGGCAACCGCTGCGGCCATTATGGGTAAACGGTGGGAAGACTTGATTGATGCTGCTGCTTCAGCCACAGAAGAGGATAGCCGAGATCTCACGCCGGTTGGTGTTACACTCTGCTATGCTATTCTATCTAACATGAACAGGTGCCACAGTCGCCAAACCAATCCCCTCACATGATGAACAACAGAACCTCTCTACCTCCCTTCAACTTTGCTTCACAACTTCAGTCATACACGGCATCACCTTTGAATAACGCTCTGACGCCTCCACCTCCGGATATGTCGGACCTTCAGCCTTTCCCTTCCGTCGAGTCTTCCATTGAATCAGCCATGTCCGGCCAAAACTTCCACATGCATTCCCAAGGTCTCTCCGATTCATCTCCTAGCTCTCTTTTCCCTGTCCAG